GAAAGCATAAAGGAAGAAGGAACACAGGGGATAAGGAGAAAGGAAGCTTTGAAGTGCAATAGTCAGTCATACCTTGGTACCTGCATTCTTAATAAGTATCACATAGCTTCAGAGACCAAAGGTCACAGCTCAACCTTCTAGTCATACAAAATACACTAAAATAACCCATAGAGGAAGGTATTGATAATGAAATGAGTCTTGTACAAAAATTCTTTCCTCTATTCATAAGGTTTCTTTGCTATGTACTAAGAACTGATGCAGTTCACTCACCTCCTGTACAGAAAGTTCATTTTAGCTGTTTCTGTAGATAGATTTCTCAAAGAAGTCTTTGTCGAATTGAACTGTCTCTGGCCAAAACAGAAATGTTTGAGCAGCAATAGTACATCATAGACATATCAGTTTGGGAAATGGGAGGAGATCATGTATGTATTCAATGTCTCAGAGCAGTGGTGCTTGAAGTGGGAAAACTAAAGCTCATTCCTTCTTACCTGTCGCTACTCTTTGCCTGGGACAGTTGGCTCCAGGGGAACTTGAAGCCATTGCTAGGCTGCAATTGCTCCTAATTGCTTAACATCAGCAACCCATTGAGTGGCTTGCTACAAGACACAGCTGAATTTATCCCAGGTCTAACTTAGTTATGTGTAAAGTCATGATGAAGGACACAAAAATCATGATCTATGTCTATAAAAAACTTACTTACTGACAATGTTGGAGAAGTGTGAAGCTTGATTTTCAGAGTCTTATTTTTGTTCACACAAATCTAGAAGACAAAGTACCTTCTCCTTATAAACAGACTGAGTCTACTGCATATTGAAGTCCTTCAGACTTCATTGAAATTTCAGAATTTCTAAAAGCTAAATAGCAGAAAAGAATCAACATTATGGTAAGAAAAATATATGCCTTATTAGAATGAAACTATTTCAGTCTTTTCATAGCTAACCCTAATAATCCTGAGAGCATCAGATCACATAACCTCTTTATAGGTATATGGAAAAAAAATATAACTCCAACAGTTTGGGTACGTAATTAGCCCCATGCTTTTTACATCAAAGGTCTGTACTGTCTGAGGGCTATCAAAGGCTGGGATGCTTCCAAAGGCAAACTGTTTATTCAGAGGCAGATTTGATCAAGGCTCATGTTTTCCAAAAGGCGGTTAGCTTACTTAGGCCCTTTCCTAAGTAAAATCCTTTCCCTAGAGCTCTTCCACTAGGCTGTTTGGGTTACATATTTTAAGTAGTAGAAAACTGCCAAGTCAAAAGCAAAGAATTGGTTTCTAAAAGAAGGAAAAGACAAAGAGCAAAAGTTAACACTGCAGATTGTTGTAAGCTTCAGAGTACAAAACAATTGTTTTAATGAGAGCTAAAAATACTTTCTAAGAGCGCTTGCTCTTTTACCAAAGGCATGCAATACACTGAGAAACACATTTGCAGAATCAAAATATTTATAATACTATGAAAAAGCAGTCACTGGCAGACACTGCTTTAGAACCTTATTGTAGCTGGTTAAGTTGGAACTACATTTTTCATAACACAGACAAAAGATTACCAACCACAGACAGAAGTGAATATTGGCTTTGCTGCCAACTTAATGTTAAATCAGGAAAAAAAAAAACCCATGTTTTCTCTAGATCACCGGACAGTTACCTTGGTGTAACTATCAATATAGTTATAGGACAAAATACAATTTTACTTTCCAACCTTCTCTTTCCTATGTAACAGAAGTGAGTTGTACTAGAATGCACTCTGAAAACAAAGGAACAGAAGGGCCATGCAAACAAGTATGAAGTCACCTGGCCTCACTGGAAGCTTTACGGACGTTTGTTGTCTATACTCAAAAATCTCAGCTCAATTCAAAATTCAATACAAGTCTTCATTTGTAGTCCCCAGGAACACAGAAAGCTAAACATTTATAATGATCAAACTTCACAGAAACTTTTTTGGAAAGTGTCAAGTTTGGTTTCTTTCCTTTGTTAATTTCAAGCATCGGAAAAATCTTACTTTCTTTTAAGGGGAAAAAAAAAAAAAAAAAAAAGAAGTGATTTGAAGTCATGAATAGAGTGACAATTTACTTTTGAAAATCCAAGTTTTCTTGCCATATTGAGCTAATGCCGAAACACTGTCTATGGCAACATCAACAGTGCAGCTGCGAAGCTGCCAATATTGGCTCCAACTGTGAAAAACACTTTTTTCCTTCCTTCTTTTTTAAAATCTTTTCTTCACTTTTCCTTTTCCAAAGACACAAAGCAGCAGAAAACAGTCAAGTACAATTGTCAGGTAAAGGAATCTACAATTTTATTTTGTGGCATGGTTACTATTTTTACATTAATCTAGCAAGAATTTAATGTAACATGTTATAATATCTGTAACACTGGGGCAACAACTTTTTCAGCAATCATGAATTGCCAGCTCCTGCATTTAATTTATTTTTAATTGCCCTCTTCCCTTGTAAGCCAAGAAAGAAAACAAAAAAAATAATATAAGACAGTGCCGGCCATACCTGTGTGCCAAAAAAAAAAAAAAATAATTGGCTTTAAGTAAGGCCCTGAACTGACAGAGATTACTTTAGGCTTTCAGAATAGTTTGTTAAATTACAGTAGGCAATTCTCTTTCAGTAAGAAAATGGTAAAGCAGCAAAAGTGGAAAAAGTATTCAAAGTGCTGAAAGCATTTCTACTATCTGTTACTTGATTTATTAGTTGCAACTTCAGTTCTTTCCCCTTGAACATCTCCTTTCTCTCCATGCTGATGAAAAGCTGGAACAGAGCAAGACAAACTCCTGGTGCTACAGGCTGGTTTTACGAACTGGCAGGGCTTGGCTCATGTTGCAGTCACCAACAGTGGGTCTGTTGGAGATGTGTTTCCCTTCCCTAAAAGGGAAAGTGAGCTTTAATGATTATTCAGGACTAACAACTGAAGTCACATGACTCTCATGGTCTTTGGTTCATCTGCAATAGCAACTGTCACCATCCTTCTCTTCCCATAGGCACCATCAAAAAAATTAAAAAAGTCTGCACTTGCCATCCTCCTCTCCGATACATCCTCCACACCTACCCATCTAGCTTCTTCCCACTACATCAATCCATTAAACAAAAAAAGGGAGCTAACACATCATTTCTGACTGTAAATTATGGCCCAACCTTCAGCCTGTCCTGTGTAGTTAAATTGTAAGCATGTTAGGGTGTGACTTTCTCTTTTACTCCTTGCAACACTTAACACATCAGAATACTGCCCTCAGTTGACCTTGCAGCATGCTGTAACAAACACATTACAAACACATTATCTGACTTCTCAGGTTTTGTCACAGTACAGGAAGAATGGACAGATGAGACAGTGCCCATGAAACTGCATGGAGTTCAAGTGTCAGCACTGTCACACGTAGGTAGGAACGCAACAGGGACAATTCATCTTCATCTCAGGACTGTCCAGAAATCGGTCTCAAGATCAAGTATGCTGAAGAGCAAGCAAAAGAAGATATACTGAAGTTTCTGCTGCCCTTAAACAGCTACTTAAGCTCACCTTTTAGGTCTTCAAAAACTCTTAACTTGGTTCTTTACAATGCTATAGCAACTTTAAAATGCCTATGATGTACTGCCATGCTATCAAGCCTGGAAGACAGAAACTTACATTTGTCTTGGTTAATTCTGGAGCTTTAAAAGACATCAATATAGCACAAAGTGAGCCCTAAAACAAGTATTGTCACACTTTAAATTCAGAACATGTTCAATGTGAATGGATATGTTATTAGGCACTGTATATAAATCTAGTAAAGAGAGCTAATAGCATCATCATAATCACTAGAGCAAAATGTTTTGTCACCTAAGAACAGACAGATGAACAGCAAGTTTCCACATAGTTGCTGTTTACTTACAAAAATTTCAAAGAGCTGGTTATATCTTCTTGGAATAAGTAAATCAACACCAAAGTAATCATTGCCTCCTACCTCCGTTAAAAGACTTAGCCTAGACCATGTCACACTATAGATCTCCCCAGACCTCCTCACAATAGAAAAGAGCTCTAAACAGAAATAGTGTTATTCAAAAAATTATCGTAGACGTACACCAGGAAAATCAGCTCGTAACAAAGGCACATTTGTTAACGTTTGACTCATTTTCTCATTGTCAGAACTTTCCACTAACATTAATTCCAACAGTTTGGAAAATACTGACAGTAGGTACCTGCTATTCTAGAGAGCAGTGTTTGAAAGTTACAACTAGTACAAAAAGTTGGGCGTTGCACTGTAGCTTTTTTTTTTTTAAAGAAAACTGTGAAGTCAATGAACTTGATGCATAAAAACGAACTTTACGAAAGTATGTCCCATTACCAACTGCTTTATCAGCCTGTATTTCAGTGGTATTCTAACCTGTAAGTGGTACCCGTTACACTACATTACATTAATCTTCTGTTGTTCCTGCTTGCTGTGAACCAACGGATCATACTGTTTTTCCTAGAGTACCATGAAAAGTGTTTTGAAAGATCCAAGACACTCGAGTTTGCTTAACCTTTAAGTCAGGCTGCAGTTTCATTCACAGGCATTCATGGCCCCTTACAATTAAAAAAAAAAAAAAAAGTATCTTCCCAGCTCCTGGGAATTCAGGTGTATTACCCTAAACTCCAAAGGTAGGCCTAATGTACTCTTATAAAATCAAGACACTGAGCAGCAAAGATGGAATTAGAGCAGCAAAGATCATAACTAGCTACTGGTTAATGCATGCAACTAGGAAGTAGACACAGAGGTGATGCATGTGTTCCTGTAATTACTGTTCTTCTGTGCCTTATTTTCCAGTAAATAAAACAGGCAGATACTGCTTTTATTCCATTTCTTCTATCACTTATTTAAAAGCTCCTGCCTTCAAAGCTGTTGGTGCACATATGCACACAAACATCATCCCACCTAGCAGATCATTTAGCAAAGAAATATACATATGCGTTTTGAAAACAGGATTTTATTGGAAGCTTATTAAAAAAAAGCCTGAAATCTTATTCAGAAAAGATACTTCAGACTTTAGACCCTTTTCTTTTTAGCTTTGGGTTCTTGTGACAGCTGAGACAATTCACTTTCTTCAACTTCATCGCAATGCTTTCTTTTCTTTTTCTTTAACTTTTTATGGTCACTTTGGTAACCACTGGAGTCACTGCTAGGCAATATATGTTCCTGTTCTTCTTGCTTATGCTTTTTCTTTTTCTTCTTCTTCTTGTTTTTATCATCACATAATCCATTCACAGCATCAACACTTTGCTCTTCTGCATTTTCCCTCCCAGTGTTATCCGTCTCGCCTAGAGGCTCCTCTGTGACATTATCTCCCCCAGAGTCATTCAAGCCATTTTCCTGGTGGTCAAGCTTTTGACTTTCATCTCCATTTGCACTGTCAGTGATGGTCTCAGATTGTTTGGGCCGCATGCTGTAAAGAAATGAACAAAATAAGCTGAAGTAGAGACACCTAAATGCACCTCAGACAGTGAAATGTCAGGATTTGCTAAAACACATGGTTACACCAAGTAGAGAAAAGATAAACATTTGCTAAAAACAACAACAAATGGATAACATGATACTCTAGTTACAGAAAATCATAAAGCCAGTTTACTACTTTCACAGTACTTTCTGTTACCCAACTAGCTTCCTTCTTACCACAGAATCATTATTCTTTTTCAAATCTTAGCCCAAATTTCTTCTCCAAAGTGCTATACAGACCATTTTGATCTTTCGGTTTTTCTTGTACTCCTTCATCCACTAACTCACTAAAAATTGTCTAGTAAATCTAGTAAAGCTTTTTTTTAAAGTTACTCACAAACACGCATAGCCAACAGCCTGTTCAGTCATACACGAGACACACTGCTGGTTTTACAAAGCAATTGCCTTGCTGAAGTCTATACAGTTAGAACAAAGGTGATGCCAGAAAAGTCAAAAAAGAAGAAAAGAAAAAAAAAAAACACACAAACAAAACCAAAAAACCCAGCAGGTACCTTGCAACTGAGAGCACTGGAGAAAATGTCTAGGAAGACAAATATGGAAAGAATGCAGCTAAAAACCACAGAGGAGGAGATGTCCCCAGAGTCACTAAGGGCAAAATTGTTAAGTTTCATTGTAAATTCCCTGAAACAATCCAGAGCATCCAGATCAAAAAAAGAAAAACCAAACAAAAAATGTTATGATTTTGTCAGTAGCAGTCACATTGTACATTTATTTAAAAACATAACTAGGTTGGTAGAAAAGCTCAGCAAATGACCATTAAAAAAAAAAAACCTGAATGAACTCTTTTAAAGATATCACTATTAAGGTTTTTAGCAAGCTGTTCTAAAAATTTAGAGGCATAAGTGAAAGGAGGAAGGTGATCCATTTTCTCGTATCATCTTTGATAGTCTTACGTTTCAGCAAGCATTTAAGTCATCCACATATAACTATTAGTGGTTATGCAATGTGCACGCGCATGTGTGTGTGTGTGTAAACAACAATGCAAACATCATGTTCAGGAACTGCAGTGTTTTCACTTGAAAAGCCTATGCACATTCATAAACACAGCTACTCTTGACATTTGAGGGTGCTATTTCGAACATGCATTATTTATGCAATCAACAGTTCATAGGTCACCACACTTAGAATTTTAAAGCTCAAAGAAAAATCTACTTTTATTTTTCCACAGAAAACTTCCATGCGAGTCCTTAACACTACAAAGTTTAGTTTATGATAACTAACACATGCTATATATAGACATGGGTTTGCGTAAAAAGAAGAAAGCTTAAAGATTAAGATGTTACTACAAATCATTTAGCTTGTAACAAACCCATTAGAACAGTTAAAAATACTACCTACTACGGCACAATACCTGCTTTTAGTGAGTCCTCCTCGAATGAAGAACACCCCAGCTGCATCAGAATCCAAGTGCAATACTTGAAATTTCAGTTCATCCCCTATTTTTAACCCCAGCTCTTGCCACTGTACAATTGACATTTGTTCGGGTTTAGGGATAGAAGCATTGAAGCATCCATGTATCAGGCAGCCAATATGACTAGGGGCCACTTTATTAATTATACCCTAAAAAAAGAACAAGAATGTCATATGAAACTATGGTAAAGATCTTCCCTTTAAATGCACACAATATATATCTAGTTTCCTAGATGGACACTTTTCAACAAGAGTTTAGGCACAAGTTCCGAAGTCAGTTTATCTAGCAAATAAGCTAACTCTCCTTCACTAAAATCAAAGCTATTCCTAATCATCCTCTTCATACAATTCCTCCCAAAACAGAACTGAATCTGTATCTGCAAGAGAAAAAGTCAAAACATGGGATTTAGCCATAGTTGAGTACCTAGGTAGAACAGGTAACTCCTTCCTCACACTCCAGCCACCAACTTTGCTCTAAAACCATTTTTAGTCTGATTTACTTGCCTAAAACGGCCTTCATGCTGGCACAGCACTACTCAGCAGCTAAAGATACAGATGACACATAAAAGGCTTTAAGTACTCCATTCAGGGGGTTTCTGACATATTTGCACGTCAAACCTTATTCACCTTTGTTTTCCCCAAGGATGAATGAAAGACATTGAGGGTTTTTCCATTCTCTTCCTAGCAAGAGGATGCATTCATTTCTTAATCACATTTAGAAAGACAGAAGCTATGCTGCAAAAGGTATGGCGCAACAATGAACGTAAGCCAAATCTCAACTTATTTTTCCCACAAGTACTGACGCAAGGGTATTAACAAGCTTAAAGCTATTCTGTGAGCCATACATTTCCTTTTACTGAAACGCAGGCTTCAACTTGATGTACTGCTCTTGTACTTGAAGGAAATACACTCACGAGAACATCCTAAACATTCCTTCCGCTATTAAATAAAAACACACCTGTTTGAGAATTATCAGCTCTTCTGAAAGAAGCATAGACATAAATGACATACAAAATTATGATACAGTATTTAATAATATATTGTATATAATTATATATATAATATATAAATTTAATGATTATAGGGACGGATAATACAAATACATGAAAATA